CCCCCCCCCTGTCATGCCTCTGCGACCCCCATATACGCAGCTGCATTCTTTTCAACTCTGAATAATATTTCAAATCTTTTGACACACTTTCTGCTTTCCTGCACATATTCTCTCACCTGTACTCTCTTTCTATCTCCACCTTCACCTCTCTCTCCACCCGCACAGTGCGAGCAGCATTCCCTCTTCAGTTTCTAGTAGAATCTCTATCACCCGTCATGTGTCGGATAATCCCAGTTTACTCTTTCCTAAACCCCTGTCATCATTTCTCCCTCCCCATTCCACACCACAATTATGACTCGGTGTAAAATGAGAAACTCCTGCTTTTCTTCTTCCGTCTTTTTTCTCTTCCCTACTGCTTAGCCTTTCGTTCTTCTCAACCCTCATCTGCTCTTTTATCTTACCATTTCTCTCTTTTGGTCCATTCTTTCCCCTCCCAGTGTGCTTTCTCTGTGTGTCTGTATTTAAACTTTATAATCCTCATCACTCTCCGGCTCTATCCCATGTCTTTTCCCCCTGAAGTGTGTAAATCTTTTTCCCTTCTCTTTCTCCCTCGGCCTCTCTCTCTCTCCTGTCACTGCGCTCTTCACACCATATAAATCCCCACCACCCTCCTCCTCCTCCTCCTCCACCACCCTCCCGCTCCTTCTTACTCACACATCTTTCCCTGATCTCCTCCTTATTTTATTCTCCTTGTTTTCACGGTTTCCGCCAAACCTGCTTTACTATTCCATCCACCGTTCCTTGTTCTTGTTATGATTTAACTTTTCATGGCCTCTCTATCATTCCGTGTGCCTGTCTGCCGCATATGTTTGCACCCTAACTCTCTTCCCAGGTACATCGCAGAAATCCACCTTTCTTCCTCCTCCTCATGCCTCAGCCAGTCTCTCCATACCTCTGCGCCCTCTCTCTCAATAAATTATGAATGAATTCTCTCTTCATCCCTTTACAGGAAACTAGATGCTTTTATTTATGATGCTGCAGTATTGAACTATATGGCCAGGAAGGACGAAGGTTGTAAGGTAAGGGCACATTTACACAGGGCACTTTTGCTCACATACTAAGTTCAACGCACACATATGCCTGTCTCTTGGCCAGTTTTTGACCCTTCTGCACATTGTCCTTTTTCCAAGGTGATGACCATAGGCTCGGGGAAGGTTTTTGCCACCACAGGCTACGGTATCGCCCTGCACAAAAACTCACGCTGGAAACGTCCTCTTGACCTGGCCCTGCTGCAGCTGGTGGGAGATGGTGAGAACGATGTGAAGGGGAGGGTGGAGCGGAAAATAATTAGAACAATGGAGGGGCAATGGGAAGGTTATGGGTAAAATGACAGGATGGAGAAACGAGCGACAGAGTAGCTCTAGGGTGGGGGGTGGATGGAGGACACAGGGGGTAGATGAATGATAGGATGAGAAGTGGATGGGGGGAGTGCAAGATGTGGTGAGAGTGATGGCTGTAAGGTGTTTCGATTGTGTGGGAATAATGGTGTGTAGGAGAGGGCTGACGACGATGGTTGAGAGGTTTGCAGGGCTTTTTATTGGCTACCAGAGAGGAGGGGAAAAGGAAGGAGCTGTAGAAACAAGAGGTCTATTGTTGGTTTCAAGCATTGAAGATATATGTTGACTTTGTGGTGAATGTTCAAATGTCACTCCTCATCTCACTCATCTCAATCTATCCCTCTTTCCCTTCTTCCTGCTCATGGGGTTACTGGTAGCAGACACAAATGTACTTGTTTGAGTCAGTTGTCATCACAAGTCTGTGGTGACAGATTCACACTCTTTACAGATTAGCTGATACTGACAGAGAGAGCGAGGAAGTGTGAAGTGAAGAGTAAATACAAAAACAAAGAGGAACACCTGAAAATACCCTGAACATGAGATGATAGCACAGAAGCAAGCAGAGATACAAAAACGGATCATACAGAATAATTAGATAATTGACAGCTATGAGGTATTATTATTATTATACTATTTGTCCGCTGCAAATACATGTGTATAGAATTAATACGTGGGAGGACAGGTCCTTGTTTTGACAGAGATAATCTGTTCTTTCATTAGTTGGCAGTTCAGTAATGCTTGATTCCCATTTACACAGTTTGCCACACAGATTTAATGTCTCAATCGGATGCTGCTTGTTTGGCTTGTTCTTATGTTTTTAATCAGCTTTGCTTATGGTGTAGCGGACAAAGCCCTTTAGCTGCTTTCTGGCACGCGGACACTTTAGCTGCTTACACACTGATAATGCCAATTTGATGCCAATATCTATTAAATAAGACCATGGTCTGGAGCTGAATGTTGGACCTGAGAAACGTGTGTGTGTGTGCTAGAAAAACAGAGAGCCCAGACAGCGTTGACATGCTATGTCTGTTGTTTATTTTAATTTGAAGTGCATTCCCTTGTCCTTGCTTATGTTCTGTGCACCTCTTAGCATCAGCTGTGCACGCTGGATGGATCTGGGGAGTTTTGAACACTGAGGTTTCTGGTTGTAGGCAGGCATTATTGGAGTGGATTACTAAGGAAGAGGATTAGTTTGTTTGGATGTGGAGGGAGGGAGTGGGGGGTTCACTTTCAGCGTGCCCTCAAAGAATGCATCTCAACAATCGCCCTGCGGCTCAAGGAGTCTGCATCACACCTTCAGCCGGGCTAAATCATGTCACAGTGTTACATCATTATTGTACCATGCCGTGTTGAGTCATATCATTTTACAACTGCATTAGAGCGGCACTAGAGAAGTCCGCCGAGGCTTTGTCAGCCCTGTGAGTGTATTGTTGCTCCCTCTGGTGATTCATGGCCCGGCTTTAAGAGGAGGTTCATTGATCTCACTACAACTTGTATACTGATAAAGGCAGAACTGCTGAGTTGCAAGATTCCCTTTTTCTCCGCTTATCAGATCCCCTTCTATTTTTTGCATAGTATCAGGATTTTGATTCGAATAATATATTATTCAGTGAGTAGATATTAAAAAAATGTGAGAAGCTGGCTTTACAGCTTCTGGCTCGCAGGGCAGTTTTTTTTTTTTCTCTTCAAATCTTGCAGTGAATGCTGAGAGGTTTGTCATGTTGTGATAAAAGCACAGTATTGTACAGGTCATGGTTTACTGCACAACAACTATGGAGCTCAGCGTCTCTGGACATGTCTGGCACCATGCCACATCTGGCACAATGAAAGCATGCACACAGGCACCTGCACTTTACACACAAATACAGTTTCCTTTATTAAATGATGTCTTTGTGCTGCATGCCAGCTTCGTGTTTGCAGTGTGCCAGCTCTACCTGACCTGAACTGCCAGTAACGACAGAGGTGGAGTGTGGATTTGACACACCTGTCAGATTTGGCAAGCATGAGCTGGCTGCGACTGAGAGCTAGAGACAACTGCCATCACAAAGGCCTAAGGGAGGAAAGAAACCTGCGTGCTGAAAAGAGTCGGATTGTAAAAGACGGAGAGGAAGAGCCACGAGATGAATCACTGGAAGTCAAATGGCAGGAAAGCCAGGAGATGAGACTTAGAGCTTGGAGAAAGGATTCGACTGGAGCTTGTGAAGTGGAGTACAGACATGAGACTACCTGTTTATCTGCGTCTTCACTAGGACACTTGCTGTTTTCACTTCAGGCGCCTGTTTGGACACACAGCTGTTACTGAAGGTCAATGACACCGATAAATCCTCTTCAATTGAGCTCCGCTCCGGAGTTAAAGACTGCATTTTGTGTCTTGGACTGTATGTTTGTATGAATAAATCAGAGGAAGGGAGTTGTTACCTGAGTCTGCCAGTGGGCTAAAGTAGCGCAGTGTCCATCTGTTGCTGTAGCTGTAGGCCACGGCTGATTGGCTAATGATGTTCTACAGGAGACACATTAGCCAGATCACACAGATGACTGATTCGGCTTCATCTAAGGTACGCAAGCTTGGTTAATGATGGCTCAAATGAAAAGCTCAAGTTTTCGCAGAGCGGTGTAGTGTTGCAAGTGGGTGTGTGACTTTTAAACCCCACTCTAGCACTTTGACTTAGGGATAGAGCAGTAACATGCAGTTAAATGCAACCTTCACACCCGGTTATTGCAGGGCTGCTCATCCTAACATTGCTATTAATGTGGCAGCAAGCTCTCATTATGAGTCCTGTTGGAGAATACACCTCTTTAATTCCATCATGAATCATGCACTACATCCTCCAGCTGTCCATCACTATGGTTACACCAGCAACCCCTGCAGCCAATCACAGGTTTAGCAGGGCAGCTGAGATTCGTTAGGCCAGTGAGATCATAAATGAAGAGGTGGGTAGAGCGGTCTTTCCTGGTTCCTGGTAGGTTAACAGATGGGAATCTTGAATCCTCCAGAGCTTACCACCTTGATGGAGATTCTGACCATCCCTCCAGCACAATTAAATGATTATGATCTTCTCCCTCTGCCTCTGTCCCTTCCCATCATCTCTCTCTTCACAATTGCTCCTCTTTCTTTCTCCTCTCATCCTGTTCAAGCTGAAGAGTGTTCTTGCAGTTTGTCATAATAACACAATCTCAGCCTCTCATCCTCCATCTCTGCTTCCCTTGTTGCAGCTCCCTCCAACTCGCCCCGTGCCTCTGTCTGTCTCATTTCCCCTGATGCGCTCGTGGACAGAGAAAGAACGCCGCTTCCTCTCTCTCTCTGTAAAATATTCTTCTCAACTCTCTCATTACCTCTCTCCCTCTCTTCCATGTTTGTTCAACCTATCCCACCACCTCACTGTGGCTCCTGGTCTCCCTCTTCTCCTCCTCTCCTCATTTACTCTGGGTTACAATGTTGAGATTAGGTTGTCGGTGCCATTTTACTTCTCAGTGTTGCTTCATTGTTTTGGACTCTCTCTTTCTGTCTCGGGCGCCAACCTCTTTGTTACTTTGGACACAGTGCTGCTTTTTGTATACTGACCTATGACCTTGAGAAGTCACCTTGGATAATGGGCAAATGGCAAGCAATACTGTAGACTTGTACTTTAGTGCTTATTAGCCTTTTCTTTCTCCCTGTGTGCCCCTTGTCTCTTCCCATTGCCTCTTATATTTATTGTCTGTCTGTCCTTCCTTTCTGTCTCTACAACCTTGAAATAACCCCTAAATCCTACCAACATGATCCCGTCTCTTACTTCTTAACCCCTTTACCTCTTGTATTTTCCTTTCTTACTTTCCATTATTTTCTTTTTTGTATTAACATTGTGCATTTCTTCCTCCTCTTCTTTCTCTGTATGTTATCCTCCTTTAATTGTACCACCTTGTAACCTTATTAATTTCCCGCTTCCTGCTTCTCTCTCTCGTCCTCCCCCCTTCCAGATGAGATTGAAATGCTGGAGCGCCTTTGGCTGTCTGGGATCTGCCATAATGACAAAATTGAGGTGATGAGCAGTAAACTGGATATTGACAACATGGCTGGTGTTTTCTACATGCTGCTGGTGGCCATGGGCCTCAGTCTGCTGGTGTTTGCCTGGGAACACTTGGTCTACTGGAAGCTGCGCCACTGCATGGCCACCAGTTCTGGCAAATTGGACTTTCTCCTGGCAATCAGCAGAGTAAGTGCTTTTGTCTGTCAGTGTGCACGTGCGTGTGTGTGTTCAGCGCACACAATGTCTTAGTGTTCTGCAGGCATTCAGAGTTTAAGCGTCTGACATTTGTATATCCACATTTCAACTGCTTATGTTTTAACTCCATTAAAACCCTTTTTAGTGGCATCGATGTGGTGTTTTAAAATTATAGAGCACTTAAACTACTCTTATCAGGACAACACGATTGATACCAAAGCTGTGCATGTAACCAGATGCACACACATGTGCCCTTATCTCTGACTCAGTCTGAGTGTGAGAAAGTGTGAGGTCGAGGGTCAATTCAATTCCACTCAGTCAATTCGGGAGATTAATTGAAATTCAATTCTGCTCACATCCTGGGTATCCTGTTCCTTTGACAGTGACCTTGACAGAAACAGCCCACACCATATGCATGTGATTATTGTAGCTACACAGATAATAATGTCTTATTTTTCACTATCGTGGTTGTAATTTATGCATTTATGCATGCAATTTAATTAGGCAAACAATGCACAGCTGCACTATAGGAATGGATGTTTTTCTGAAAAATAGCAATCTTGCATTTCTTTTGATAACTGGAACTTATTTGGACTTCTGTTTTATAATTTTCATCTCATCCACTTTCTCTGTCCCTATATCTCGCTTGTACATTCAGTAATAGAATGTATTTTGTACTTGTGGGGCATCTGTAAGAATGTATGTTGTTACATATTTTGCCAATATATTCCTGCAACATTATCTCGATTTTTTTTTTAGTTTGTATACATTTCCATTTCAGGAAATATTGTTTATTAAATTGTATTCCATGCTACACTGCATTTGAACTCTGTGTTCTTGTTTTGTGCTCCCTTTTTTCTCAGGGCATGTATAGCTGCTGTAGTTTTGAAGATGAAACAACGCCAGGTGGAAGTAAAACTTTGCCAACTCATCACCACACTGCCATGGTTACAGTTCCGTCCAAGCCGCATGTTGTCTCAACGTCTAAGACCAACCCAGTCATTGCCATGGCGCAACAGCAGCAACCACCGCAACAGCAGCAACCACAGCCCGTCTACAAGACACCTCTACCGGGCTCTCCTCCCACCGTGGTGCATTCTGGGACTGCACTGGGTCCCTCAAATGCCCCCATAGCTGGTGCACCCCTCCCTTGTTCCACCTTCCTGCCCCGGTCAGACCGCAGACTGGCCGTGGTGGATCGCTGGAGGCTGCCAAAAACCGCTGCAGCCACAAACCCATTGGCTGTAAGGGGGGCAATCACTGACATGGGACCCTTTGCACAGAAAGTCCCACCAAACTGGGCTTCAGCTGCTGGAGGGGGTGGGGGACTTGATGGCTATAAGAGATACTATGGTCCCATTGACCCTGAGGGACTGGGGCCCTGCATGGAGCAGCAGGCAGGTTCCCAGACCCCCAAGACTATGCCCAGGGGCCACCCCCAGCCCCCTCCAGCCAGTGTGGCCTTCTATTCAGAGAAGGGCGTAGATCATGGGGTGGGGAAGAAGGTGGTGGGAGGTGGCAGCGGAGGTCAGGGGAAGGGGGCCGTTAAACCTCTGGGCACTCCCAGATTGCCTTCTAAGAGTCAGGCCCCTCTGCCCCCTACACCCCCGCTGCCACACCCCTCTCCCCCTCTCCCCTCATCCTTCTGGAGGAAGCGCAGGCCCAAGAAACCCAAAGAGCCTGGAGGGCCTCTGTATGAAAACATTTTGCCACTGGGGCGGAGGGGAGGAGCACGAGATGGAGTGAGAGAGGGAGGAGGGAGGAGGGCACGCCCCCTCTCTCCCCCGCTCTCACTTCCTGTGCCAGTACCCCTCAGCCCCTCTTACACCCCTCCTTCGCCCTCTGCATCTTTGCACTATACGTCCTCCTCGTCTTCGTCGACCACCTCGTCCACATCCACGTCCTCATCTGCTTCATCTTCCCGCTCGACCTCTCCCACCTACTCTTACAGCTCCTCCAGGAGCACACGGGACAGGACTGGAGGAATAGATGGAGAGGATGACGATGACGATGAAGAGCTGACCGAAGAGTCGAGCCTCCTCCTTGGCAGGGGGAGGGAGAGGGAACGCTCAATCATCCGGCCTCGTTCCTTCAGCCAAGGGCGCCTGCCACCGCCCATTCCCCCCAGGAAACCCCGCACATCCTGGGGTGACAGAGAACGGGAACGAGAGAGGGAGCGGGGGGGAAGCCAACTGTCTCAGCTCCAAGAGTGGTGGGCAAGCTGGAGTGAGAGAGAAAGGGGTGGAGCAGGTGGAGATGCTGAAAGGCTAAAAAGGGAGAAGAAGAGGAGGAAAGAGAAGGAGAAAGAGAAGAAGAAGAAGAAAAAGAACAAAAAGAGGAAAAAGAGGGAAGAGAGGGAAAGGGAGCGAGAGAGAGAAAGGAAGCGGCGAAAAGTTAAAAAGAAGAAGAAGAAGGAGCTAAAGACAAAGAAAAGGAAGAAATCAATTGGGGGGAGACGCTCCGAGCCAGAGGAGGGAGATGGAGAGGCAGAGAGGGAAGGGGAGGCAGAAGGAGAGATGGAAGGGGGAATACAAGACTACTCGTTCTCTGCTCAGTATCGGAGCACATTTGGGGAGAAGGGACGGGATTCTTGGGAAGGAGACCGGGTAGAGAGAGGGAGGAGGGAGGGAGGAGATGAGGGCAATGAACAGGAGGACAGTAACAGGAGCAGGGAGAGGCGTCCCAAATCCTCACACTCTCATTCCAGACCTCGTATTCCCAGTAAGCGCTACCCGAACCTAAACAAACTGCCTGCATCCGTAAAGTTTTGGGTGAATGGAAGAGGAGATGATTCTAACACTCCTCCAACCTCCCTCCACCCACTGTTGCCCTCCTCCAAGAGGAGAAAAAGTGGAGGGGTGGAGAGAGATGACAGCGGGAGGTTAGGAGAGCGGCGTCCTTTGTTAATGCATTATGAAAAAGAGAAGGCACAGACGAGAGAAGGGCCGTCCTTCCCTGAGTGGGACTCTGAGGATGAGGAGGATGATGAGGATGATGATGAGGATGATGAGGAAGAGGAGGAGAGGGAGAGACAGAGGGAGAGGGGAAGGAGAGTAGGTAGGGGGGCAGTGTCTGAGTCAGAGAGGGACAGGGCCCGGGCAGAGGACAGTTATTCAGATGAGGGCTCGTCAGGGGAGTTTGGCCGCTTTGAAAGATACTGGGAAGGAGGTGCAGGGGGAGGCAGCGCTGGAATAGGGGGCATAGGCGGGGGAGGCTGGTTTTTTGGCACTTACCCCTCCAGAGAGAAAGGGGGGAGTATAAACAGTCGGGATGATTCGTTACTAGGAACTCGGGCAGAAGGGTGGATTGGTGCTGATTTCTTGGGTTCAGGGCCAGGAGTAGGTTGGGGCTCAGGGGGAGGGAGTGGAGGACTCAGCTCCCAGTGGCCACCCCCCCCTGCTGCCTTCCCTCCACCGAGGAGGTACTGGTCCATGGACAAGATCCCTGTGAAGGGAGAGAAAAAGTGGAAGAGTAGAGGAGGGAAGAGCAAGGGGCGATCTCGAGACAGAGGGGGAGAAGCAGGACGAGCCACCATGTGTTCCTGCAGCCTTTACCCACAGCCCCATCCTTACCCCCATCCCCACAGCCACTCGCACGCCTCCCACTCCAAGAGAGGAGCCACAGCGCTTTCACACAGCCAGGAAGAGCTTCTCCCCCATTGCCACAGCTTCAGCGGGGGTTCTCGCCCCAAGCCTCTCCCCCCAAAACCAGATTCCAGTCAGGCCAAATCAGGCAGCCAATCTAACCTCAGCCTCAGCACACAGCCCATGGACCATCCCCCTCAGCCCTCACCCTCGCCACCCCAGCAGCCGTCCATGTCTCCCACTTCTCTCCCGGTCCCCATCCCGCCTCCACCCTCTTCATCCTCCGTCCCACCCCCAGCAGGGGTCGGGATGGTGGGCCAGGCTCAGGCTTCGGCCAGTGCCAAGCTCCAGTATCAGAGACTTCGCTCGGTGCCACAGCCACGGAGGTTCTACTCCCCACACCTGCCGCTCAAAGCCAAGAGCCTTTGCTCTCGCCGAGGGTCGGCCCACTTCTCCAGCCTGGAGAGCGAGGTATGACAGGGGGACAGGAGAGAGGGAGACGTGGGAGCGAGCACCACTACGATTGAGAACCGTGGTGCCATGGCAGCTGAAACCAGGGACAACAGCAGAGATATGGCTGCCTTGGTGACCATTGGTAATCAATTGGTGACCATCACTGCGGGAACTAACATGGACAGTAGTTCTACTGCGAGCACTACTCTGTGTGAGAGCAACGCAACCGCCACCCGCTCCATCGTTCGCGTTCTCGTGAGGGCGACAGTGAGACGCCACACCAGGGTGAGCTACATCCGCTTGGATGACGACGAGAGTGAAGGCGAGACTGCGTTTGCGGGGACGGCAGCTCCCGAACTTCTCCTCCGCTCAGAATTGAGCTTTGTGATGTCATCTTCGGTTCTCCTCCCCTCCCAGAGTCACAACTATGGATAAGAGTAGTGTCCGACTTGTGAGTAATGATGTCATATTTGTACACACACATGCACGAGCACACACACACACGTACACACAAAGATTTATGCTCAAAACGTCTCCCTCCCTCTGGCTTTGAGAACACTCCTCTATGGGACGTGAAGAGACCCACACTCTCCCAAAAGATGCCAGTGCTTGGTCAACGACTCTGGCTCCTTGTCCTCATTGGCTGTTGGCTTTTGAACTGGATTGGTGGATTACTTCTTGGAGAGACTGCCCCCTCTTCTTCCTTTTTGTAAATCAGTTGATATAAAAAGCAATGCAGTCAACTCTCTCATGCACTCTGCCTGAACACCTTTCACAGTGAGGAAAGTGCTATTTATTTGCCCTTTGACCTCCTTTGACACCATCAGACCCATCTAGCTCCACCCCAGGACCATCTACTTGATGTCATGTTTTACTAAAAATACTTTTAATAAGATTGAATCCCTTCTCCTCCTGCCTGCGGGAGCTTGTCATTTCTCCTCTGGTCCAACCAGAGCTGCTCCAACACAGTTGAGTATTTGAACAACAAACTGAACTTTAAAAGAGAAATAACAATAAGAACAAAAAAGACATGTAGCAGATTTTTTTTTACGTCTGTCTTTTCTTTTCTTTCTTACTCAGACTTTTCTCCCCTTGCCCTATTTTTTAATATATGAATATATTTCTCTCACTGTGTTAGTGTTTTAATAAAGAGGAGGCTGGATGTGGCTAGTGTTGGAAGTGGGAATAATTTGAAAGCAGTGCCAAATTTCCACTCAACAGCTTTTTAGCAAGATTGATTTCCAAGAAATATGTTTTCATAGATATAGACCCATCTTTTCTTTCCACACGTGAACAATGCATACTTCACCATCATGTAAGTGGAGCAAGTGGATGATTGGTGCAATATCTGTAATTGGCACTAGATGGCTGCATAATATTCAAATTAGCTTTGAAGACAATTGTGCAGGAGGCTTGTAGTCATTTTAATAATTGTAGCTACATGTTACAGAGCAAGGGGTGTGCAGCTATGAACTTTATTATTTTTATGAAAGTGGCCAGTTAAGATTTATCAAGATGAAGTAAGGGGAATTAAAACCAAGTGCAGCTCCCTTAGGATGTTATTGTATTCCACTTTTATATTGCAGAGTTTGTAGATGATGGATTATATGAAGCACAAGTTTCATTGTATTTTTCAGACATGCGTGCCATAGTTGTAACTGCACAATCTAACGGAAATATATTTTGCTGATATGTATAAAACTATTACCTTGATGTTAATTCATATTGCTATTATGGACAATAAAAGTCACCGTTACCAAGGTTTAAATAACATAGAACCACAGATACTTGTGCTGGGGAAATTATCCTGTATTTTGACTATTTCCTTTCGGAAAATACAGGAAGACTGGACGATATACTGTGAACGTTTTGAGATCCAATTTGAGGTGCATATACAAGAGCTGAGATTTCACTGAATGCAATCAGTATTAACTCCTGTTATCAAGATTATCAGATGACTGTTTGACTTTGAGCAATATTCCCACCTTCAATGTGACAGCGATGCAATGGCACATCTGTTTGCATCTGAGACATTGTAATTGTTTTTCCTCTAGATCATTTGTTTCAGCCAGAGTCAGATGTTCCACATCTTCACTGATCCTCGTATAGGTACAATCAGTGTAATCTAATTTGCTCGTATGTGATTGTAATAAATTAGTTAAAGTCCACAGCACCTGGCTCTGGCTGACCAATATGAATACCTAATGCTATGTGTTCGAGGGAAAGTAGTGAACTGTAGCATTGTACCTTCTGTGAGCTGTGCCAAAAGCCATCTACTGTGTAAACTGTGCCAATGTTGCCAACATTGCAATGCATAAACCCCATTTTCATAAGGTCAACATATCCACCTCATTTCTCACACTAAGACCAGCCACAGCCCAGCTCTTCTTCTATTGTAGTTGAATGTAGCTTTGACATGATGTAGCAAAAGAACACCTACTTTTAGACTTTGTAGCTTTTGGATGCTGTTGATAATGGCTAGATGGAGGGGGGGGGCGGGGATGGGGGTGTTGACCTGCTATGAGAGGGACTGTGCGTTGTGTTTGTGCATGTCGTCACAGATCGAAGGGTTAGTTGACCTTCTCAATTCCCCTTTTAACTACTCCTTTGCCCTAAGATGAGGGAAGACTGTACCTTTTATCTGCACATGGATTGCTTTTTATCTAGGTCTGTGTGGGGCAATTTTTAACAACAATCTGTCTTTGTTTTTTAGAGAAATGCTTTTGCCATTTCCCATTCTTTGGACAGCCCCAAAATCACTGCATGTTTAGCTGAATGAAATCTCAAAGATTTGTGGTGGGAGGGTTGTGTAGTTCAATTGTAGCAAATGCTTAGGACCCAGGGCAGCCACCTTTCAGTGAGGTAGTACTTTCGCTCACTCTGCACCACCAACTGTGGAAACCACGGCAACTGTTCGACTGCTTTCTGTGTAGTAGAGCAGTCATTTTCAATCAATCAACAGGGCTTTAACCTGGTATGTCATTGAGCATTTTTTATTTCTATTGAGGCGCTAATACTTAAGTCTGTGACTGCATGAACAGAAGTGACTCTTAAAAACCCTCTGGCTTATTTATTTTTGTTTTATTTATTTATTTTATGCTGAGAAAAAAGAATATATTAAAATATACTATGTTTTTGAGAATGTACCATGTTATACTGTGATTTAACTGAGATATTTTATTGTATGAAATTATCATTTGAATTCTATCATTTATCTATAAAGAAATATATATGTACAAATAAATATATACATATATATACATACAGGTATATATATATATTAGTTAAGTTTGGTATATTTGGAGGAAGTGTTAGATGAAATAGTTTTAAATGTTTTAGCTTTGTAGCGATTCTAGACACTGAAATCATTTTTGAATTTCGATTCCTCCTATATGACTGTGAAGACATTAGTGCCTGTGACAAAAAAGACAAGTAAAAGTCTAAACTCTCTATTCATCTGTATCTACTATAGCTATCAGTCTGTCACTCCTCTCGTACTACCTAACATCACATTTTGACACTCGCTGCTTTTACACATAAGTATGTTTCTCTCACACAGTTTCCTGTCTCTTGCTTTCTGCTGCTTTCCTCTGCAGTTCATCCTCCTGGTTTTCATTAACAAGCTCTCAACATCTTTCACCTCTCTTTTTAAAGTTTTATCATATGGTGATCACATCTCTTTGTTAATTAACCCGACCATCGACCTTTCGCTTTTTTTCTTTCGTCACTTTTTAAAAAAAATCAGCTCATTCCTCTGTCCGTCTCTCACTTAGCAAAAAACAGAGACCAGTAGATACTGTGTTCTTGCTCCTTTTGACTGATTGTTGATGATGATGATGATCAATTAATTGATTGATGAAATAATTAATGAACGATGTTACTATTACTGATGTGACTGAAGTGTGTATCTGACGACCATGCCACTGTAGCAAGTCTGGGCTGTACCACACCACCAGCGAGCAAATGAGGCCACAGTTACTATGGTGTTGCCATGGCATTTTCATGGTGTTGCCATGGTGTCCTCTGCACCACCACCACCTGGTGCCTGCTGGGTAATATAGCATAATGTCCTTCACTTTCCCCAAAGCACTGGTCAAAGATCTGCTATGCTCCCCTCTGCTCAGTCCTGAGCTTAATCGGTGTAAGGTGAAATATTCAAACACTCCCTTTGTAAGAGTGCTGAGGGGCAGCATGGTTGTGAAGAGTATAATGTCTATGCTGATCTAGACTGGACTGGTTTGGCTTGAAGTGTCTATGATAAAGTCTTGATATCATGTTGATCACCCTAATCCTTAAATCATCAGCTTGTGCTGCCCTGCATGTAATTCCAAAAGCTTCATATCACTGATAGCCTCAAACCAGTCAGGACAGACTTGTGTCTTTACGTGTGTTTTTCTCGTACTTAATGTTCCTTTTTTAATGTTGAAAGGGTACATGCCATTTACTGTATGTGTATAGCATGTGCATCAATCCTTTGTAAAAGCCCACTGCAGCATGATTCTGTAGCACTCTCCTTTCCTCTCCCTCTATTTTTCTTCTCCTGATTTTTCTGAAAAACACTAACACACACTTTGCTGTGCATGCATATTTAACACACAATGCGCACATCACTCAGCCAATGATCCTCATCTTCCTCTAGCCCTCACTAAGCTGCAGCATTGCCTCAAGTAGTCCGATCATCCCACACAGGAACATGTGTGGTTTCACACACAAAGCACGCCACACACAAACTGTAACTTCTCTAATTTCTTAAAAATTGAGTCTTTTGTGGAAGATATGGTTCACAGATTTGGTTATCGGAATGAGTTGAGTAGATTCTGTGTTATGCTGGTTTCAAGCTTTTCGTCTATTGAGTTTGCCTTATAGTCCTGCACTCTGCTTTGCACCATCCTGCCTGTTCTGATCCATCAATTCCTGTTTAGAGCAGTCAGGTTCAATCTCTTTTTATTTTGCTGACTTGCCCCTCTTTTGATTTACCTTGTTCCCCTAATCTGCTTTGATTCATCAGATTTACTGTCTGGTCA